AAAAGATTACCGTATCTCCAAACTTTTAAAATAGTTTTAGGCTTAAGAGCTAGGCTACTATTTAAAACAAGTATTCTTAACTTTTAAAATAGTTCTAGGCTTGATATGCACAATTCTCTTAAAAACAGTTTTCTTTACTTATTATAGATAACTGTGAAAAAAATAGTGTGACACACACTACTTGTAATACAATACTATTTCTTATAAGTTTAAAAACAGTTATACACTGGGAAACCAGACTTCTGTTAAGAAATAGTAGTCTTAACAAATTATTGACAACTGTGGCAATAAAAACTGTATTTTTTTACGAAACCGAATACTAATAATAGATGACCGTTTCTCACAGCTTCAAAAACAGTTCTACCTATAATTTATAGACTATTGTTCTAAAAGAGTCTTCTATTCCTATTATAAACAACAGTGGCAAAAAACCCATACGAAACAGACAACAAACGTTAGATAACTGTTTCTAATAAATTTTAAAACAGTTCTAGAATAACAACCCAGACTATTGTTTAAATAGAGTATTCTTAACTTCTTATTGACAACTGTTGTAAAAAAAACTGTATCTTGAACTGAGATAGACAACTAATGAAACATTACCGTTTCTCGAAACTTGAAAAATAGTTTTAAAGCATACCACCTAGACTACCGTTCTGTTCTTATGAAAAACTTACAGTAGTCTGTTTTTTTTCAACTACTGTGTTTGCATAAACAGTAGTGAATCAACGGTGGTCTGATGCTGTTTCTGGCGTAGTGCAAGTGTACCACACAATACACACCCCCCCCACACACACATAAAACTTACCATGCTAAGGTTTTATGGTGTGGTGTGATGGATCACACTCATCACACAATCCCCCTCACCTTGTAAGTTTTTCTATTTTTCATTATAGCTCATCACACCACCATCACCCCGCAAGAGTGTTGATAACGTCCACCATGCCAATTTTTTTTTTTTTTAATTTTTTTAAAGCTCTCTTTAGGTTTTTTCAGGTTTGAAGAGATTGTTCCTAGCACTCTCCGTTTTGAGAATGAGAAGCATTTTGATTACCTACAAAGAGAATCGAATGAGAAGCGTGTTAGTGGCCCTTTTGAATCCCTTGTGCAAAATAGTTACTCCGTATTTTATTCTATCTAAAAGTGGAAGCACCAACCAACACCCTCCTCGGCCTGGCGGGCTACTCTGTACATAAATTTGCATCCAAGAGACGAAGCACTAATTATATATATACATACAGATAGAAGACGACGTACATGACAGCTCAAAACTCCCACCATTTTGAAGGGCCACAGGAGTCGTCGTCAAAAGGGCTGTTCAAGCTGCCACTGCACCAGTGATCCGGCGAGGCGAAAGGGCTGCCACCTAACTCCACCAGGTTCAAAAACTCCACTTCTTCTTCTTCTTTTTCTTCTTCTATGTCGCGCTCAACAAACCCATTGTTGCTTGCTCGTCTTCCACCATTATTTACGCATACTATTGGAGTTTCACACGCCCCCAACCCTGCATTTCTGTTTTCTGAATCGGTAGGCCTCTCCCGGCTTTGTGTGTCTTGATGATTCTTTCTCTGCCCTGCACTTCCACTCCTTTCTAGCTGGTTTTGTAGTTCCTCCAACTATTTCAGATAGAGAATAGTTTCTTTTTTTAAAACTATAAATTCAAACGACGGGCAGATTGGCAGATATATAAATGCACTCGTTTGGGGTTTCCTAATTTTGATCCCAACTCTCACACACAATTACAGAAACGGAGTAATGACGTGAGTCTGTGTATATTTGTGATGAGAAATTGCTGTGAGAGTTGAATAAAAATTGGGGTATACGTATACCATTCTAAATATAATTAAAGAGTCATAAAAGCCATTCAATTCCAACTTTTTTTTTTACATTTGTATAGTTCTGAATTTTCATGCCAAAACCAATTGGTTATTAGAGGGGTATTCCACATTCTAATTATATTGTGTTCACATTGGTGTCAAATTGCGAGTAAACCTCTCACTAATTTAATTTTAGGGAACTTTCAAAAGATCTCCGTATATTAATAGATTTGTGTAAGCACTTATATACTCAATATTAGTTAATTTATTTTTCTCCATGGGGTGTGGGAGTTAAGTTCACACCTAATAAACTTTTCTTCAAATTAAATTAAAGACCACACAATTAACCCGTGAATTCCCCTTTAACAATTATTCGGTGTAGGACTCAAGTTTGTTTCGAAGATAAATGGCCAAATAACTCCGGTGCACCCCTGTGGTTTGAAAAATTAACATCAATGTCCCTTCTATTTTCAAAACTTACTTCTAAAATCTCTGTGGTTTCAAAATGCTGCACCCGCCCCCTCTGATCATTTTTCTGACCATTTTCCGGCGCAGAGGCGGCATTTGCGCATAATTTTTAAACCATATGGGGCATTCGTGCTCATTTTTTATTTTTCGTTTATTATTTGGGTTTTTCTTTTTTAAATATTTTCTATCTCTTTTTTCTTTTCCTGAATTTTTTTCTAATTTATTTTCAATTTTTTATAATGTTTTAAAATTTTAAAATTTTTTGTGTTTGAAAAAAAAAATAAAAACAAAAAAATTAACATACATTGCATCTATTTGAAATTAAGCATTTTCACTTTTTGTTACGTACTTATTTGGAAAGTTCAAACAGAAAAACCTAGAATAAAAAAATAAAAATATGGAAAAATAAAATGAAAAATAAAAATACATAAAAAAAGTGTGATACAAAAAAATGGCAAGCCTAAAAAAGTCCTTAGAATTAAGATGTTCGAAAAAGATATTCATTTTTATTTTTGTTTTACTTTGTTTCTTATTTTATTCGTCATTTTTTTTGAAATTCTCCAAAAAAAAGTTTACTTTTTTCAGAAAAACAAAAAATGTTAATTTGAGAAGTACATATACATTATATGTTAATTTTTTCAAACAAAAATAACTTTAAATTTTATGAACATTATAAAAATAATTTTAAAAAAACCTTTATTAATAAAAGAAACAAATAAAGGAAAAATGAAAAAAAACAAAAAAATAAGCGAGAAATAAATATCACCACCGATACCTCCTGTGGTTTAGTAAATATGCAGCAATGCCCCCCCCCCCTTCTTTGCCAGAAAAATGGCCGGAAAATTATCAAATGGGGCACGGGTGCAGCATTTTGAAAACACAAGGACTTTAAAAATAAGTTTTGAAAACAGGAGAAGGTTTTGGTGCCTATTTTGCAAACCACGGGGATACTGGCGCTATTTGGCCGAAGATAAATTGATATGAAAAAAGGAAGCCGATTTTTACCAAAACAAACTTGTTTTAGTACTAGTAGGGTAGCCTACTACCTCAATTTATACTGTAAAAAAATGTATCCTAAATATTGTATCCTAATTACTATCACAGATGTAATTAGTAACTTAGACAACCTTTGGAGTAACCATTGGGGTACAAAATTTGATGTACTTCTATCACACACAATTTAACTGTTCAAGGAACATGCATGCTACCCTTACCCTACTTTGTACCTAATTTTGTACCTTAAATCTTTACCATGACATAAAATGTAAATGCAACACTGACATAATATTAGTTTTGCACTTACGTTTAGTGTCAGGTCAAAGCCTTGGAAAATGGGGTACAAGTAGAATTTTCCAAAGTTTCAACTATCAGCAGACAACCTCCATCCTAGATTATATATTCAGTTTTGACTTTTTTTAATTAATGTTGATAAATTTTGAAAGCTTAAAAAATAACTTATACTCCCTCTGTCTCATAAAGTGTTACCTATTTTGACTAAAGTTGAAATTAAGAGAGTGATAATTTTGTGTTGACTCTCCAAAAATACATTTGATGTGATAGGTAAAAGTAAGATGTGATATGTAGATTATTAGGAAAAATGTATGATGTGATATGTAGGGTTTGAAAAAGCAAGGAGTAAAAGTTGTTTTTTAATAGAAATGGGTAAGGGATTGTGGGATGTAATTTTTTTGAAACGTGTAAATCTTTTTGGGACGGAGGAAGTATTAGATATTGATCAAAAAATAATTTTATTAAATATATCTTATAAAATACTTTTAAAATATTTCTTTATGGGAGAAAGAGCAAAGTAGGACCAAAATATTGAAAATATACCAAAATAGGACTTCCATGTTTTTATTCCCGATATAGGACTACATTACCAAGCATTGTCATATACATTACCAAAAAAAGAATAGTAATTTGCACATGTACACTGCCACATTACCACAATGCAAAGTCACATTACCACAGTGCAAAGTCTTATTTCCGAAAAAAAAACATGGAAGTCCTATATTGGTAGTTTTCTCTATATTTTAGTCCTATTTATTAGGATGATTTCTATTTCTTTATCTAATTATTATAGGGTGTAATTTTTATTTAATTTTAGGTTAAACATTGATGTGAGTTACTGAAAAAAAGACAAACATAGACAAATAAGAAGGGAGTATTTGATGGTAAATGTTTTGGTTATTCTTAGTTCCATGCTCATTTTATAGATATTATTAATACATAAAATGATTATATTTATCATGCCTTGCAAAAGGAAAACATTTTATGAATGAAACTAATGAAAGGACAACTCGTAATTGAGTGCCTTTTAGCATGTAATTAGATTGTTGATAATAATGTAGTGTAAATGAAAGCGCACATGCCTGCAAAAGCAAATACTCTTTTTCTCTTTTGAGTTCATCAAACTGGGCATTAAGGCTGTCGAACTCGGATTTGAGGACTCTGAATTCGTGCTCCATCTGCTTGGATTTCCACCTTGCCCTTTTGTTCTGAAACCATATGGCGACCTGGCGAGGTTGGAGCCCCAAATCTGTGGCCACCTGCACTTTCTTCTTTGTCTCCAGCTTTGTTTCCAGCCTAAAGATGCTCTCCAGTGACCTCACTTGTTCATTGCTAAACCGCTTACCGCTCTTCTTGCTCTTCTTCTTCTTCCTCCTCTTACTCGATCTATTCTTCTCCCCACACCCACCAGATTCCTGGGTTTCCGATGATGCTTCACACTCTTCTATTTCTTCCTCCATCTCTCTCTTCCCTATTTCCTCTAAATTATTGCTTCTTCCTCTCTCTCTCTCCCTATATATACCCGGCCAGTGTTCCTTCCCGTTTTGAATTAAAAGAGTTAAAGGAAAAATTGTTGGAAAGTAAGCAAATATGATTGGATAATTAATTTGTTTACGGAAAAGATTTTTTGGTAATGACTCTGACTTCCTACATTATCTAAAATACAGTACTCTTTTGCACTATGACTCCTAGCTAGTTTGATAAAACTTATATCGTTGTTACTAATGATTCTGATATGATTACGTAAATGCATTAATAACATTTTTTGGACCAATGCGTAAAAGATTTCCTTCATTACTTAATCTTCCCTATTCTATAAAAATATTTTTTCATATACTTTTCTTTAATTTCTTTTCTATTCTTTTTCTTTTATTTTAATTTTTATTAAAACAAAAGAACCAGTATAAAATCAAACGAACAAAAAATGAGAAATGAACTTTCATGAAAAATAGGAATATTATTGATTTTCGTATTATGAAAATGAACAAATAAAGACCACTTTTGGACAAAAAAAGAAAATGTTTAATTTGAGACAAATTAATTGTACGTTCATTCTTGTTATTTTATTGATATTTATTTCAAATGCAAAAAAATTGATTATTAAAACATTATAAAAAATAATTTTCAATAAGAAATTAAAAAATATTTATGAAAATAAGTAAAAGAAAAAAGACAACAATAAAAAAGATGGGGCGTACGTTTGTGCCAATTTTCAAACCATAGGGGGTAGTGGAGTTCGTATAATATCTGAATGATATTTTAGTCTAGAGGAGCATTTACGTAATCATATCAGAACCATTAGTAACAACGATATAAGTTTTATCAAACTAGCTAGGAGTCATAGTGCAAAACTTGTTAAAAATTAATCCCCTCTGTACCTTTCAGTTCTTCTTTTTAATAAAACTTTCTTTGAAAAAAAATATAGGTTCTGGTGAGAATGCAATCTAATGAAAGAAATAAGATTGAACCTGGTGCTTTAGATTGTGAGATCTAAGGGTCAAGATTGCATCAAAATTAGGTGCACCAAAATGGTTTGAAAATGCATCATGTTGAAATGCATCAAAAACTTTTAAAAATGCACTATCTCAAAATCTGAGCGCATGATGCAATCTGAGCCACACGATATGTCAGATCCAAAGGCTAGATTTTATTCTTATTTCTTTCACCAAGGTGCATTCGTACCTGAACCGGCCCTATATATATAACAGGTTAGAGTTTTTTATTCCGCTTTGATTTTTATATTATTATCACACATGCGATTCACGCACATTCTATCGAACAACTCTATTCACCCCCCTCCTATGGAGTTGCACTTTTGTCTAACAATTGGTATCAGAGCGGGAAGTTCTTCGAATACTTCTTAAATTTCAGGAACTCAATGATCAATGACATCTAGAATGTTCAGCGCAGGAGTTAGCGAGGGACAATCAACCACAAGGCCACCGTTGTTCGAAGGAACCAACTATTCTTACTGGAAGGAGAGGATGAGGATCTTCATCTAATCTAATGACTACAAACTATGGTTGATAGTCAAGAACGGGTGTGGAGTCCTGATGAAGAAAGTCAGTGAGGTCAATGTCCCCAAAACCGAAGAGGAGTTCACGACGAAATTGCAAAAAGATGGAGCTCAACGCAAAGGCCATAAACATGATTTATTGCGGTGTTAATGCGGATAACTATCGTAAAATCTCGCGGTGTGAAACCGCAAAACAACTGTGGGAAAAATTGGAGGTCATCTACGAAGGAACTGCGCAGGTTCGGGAGGCCAAAATCGACCACCTCACTCATGAGTATGAACTCTTCTGAATGACGGAAAATGAGAAGATTGAGGAAATGTTTGAGAGATTCTCTAACATCATCAATCCTCTCAATCTTCTCGAGAAGACATGCTCCGATACCAATTGTTAGACAAAAGTGCAACTCTAGAGGGGGGTGTGAATAGAATTGTTTGGTAGAATGTGCGTGAATCACGTGTTGAAACACGGGCTTGTCACGTTTTCGTACTAAAGCCGTGTTCGTTTTTATGACAGGTTTTGATAATGCCAAACCGCCGTGAACAAGACAAGTTGTTGAATATACAAGGCGAGAAATAGATATAAGAAGAAAGCAAGAGTACAAGAGCTTAAAGAGACCAAGCACGAAGACCGTAGTCTTTAGCGTCGTTGAGTTGGTCACAATTATGTGATCAAGACCGACGCAAGCTTTGCACTTTGGCTCTTTAGGCTAAAACATTTTTTTATTGCATTTTACATATCATCAAAATTATTTTCAAACATGCTTAAACATATTAAAAACACTTGGTGTTCGCCCAAACAAAAAAAACAAAGCCATCCGGGATTCGGCTTTCAGAAACCGGCGTTCGGCATTTAGTTATCGACGTTGGTTTTTGGCGTCCGAACCAACTAAGTGATTTTCAACTTTTTATGATTGGTCTTTACTTCTGGGCACACTGAAATAGGTTTCCATAAAAAAACACTTCAAAAACCACCTTTAGTTTTTGTCGTTTGATAAAAACCTTGCGAAACGGCAAAAACTTGGCTAGCCGTGGTTTTTACTTAAATGAAGTGGTTTTCGAGTCTTTTTGTGTGGGAATTGTTTTTGAATACATTTAAATGGTTCTCCAATCAAAACATCATGAAAACCACCTTTCGGTTTTGTCTTTTGGTAAAAATCACCCGTGTACGGCGTTGACTTGGTCAATCGTGGTTTTTACCTTAACGACGTGGTTTTCAACTTACAAAGCTTGTTTTGACATCACAATACATTAAATAATTGTTTTAAATACTTATTTTTTTTACTTTGGAGAACTTTGCATTTTTCGGTCGGGTTTCAGCGCCGGTCAGCTAGGCCATGGTTCTGGGCTAGCCATCTACCCAGCAATGGTAGATATCACCCATCCATGGGTAAGTGATCCCGGGATTCCAGAATCATTCCACCCAGCGATGGGAGTTATTACCCAGCAATGGGTATGTAACACCCCACCCTGGATGACCCGAGTCATCCAGACTAGAATGCTAGTAAAATCGGGTTACTTTGTAAAATATATTTTTTTCCCCGAAATATATTTTCTTTTTGATAGCTAAAGAGAAATTAAAAAACATTTTCTGCGTAAACTTAAAGTAAAACATCCACAGTTAATACAACCTTGGGTTCAAGCCTAAAAATCAAGTAAATTTAAGTTCGACGTTTTATTCATTATCAAATATAAAAAAAAATTCCTTTGGCACGACCTCCACGTCCATGCTTTCCTCCTCAGCAGTTGTTTTCCTTACTAGTACCTGCGTGCAGTAAAACAAAACTACACGCTCAGCAAAGCTGAGTGGCAAATAACCAGTAGACATATATAACATGTAAATATATTTGGGCTTTTTAAGTTATTCAAATTTTGTTCGTTTTTTTTAAAAAAACTTTTTGCATAATTAAAATCATTGAGGAAATAATCTCACTTTGAATAGTTACTTGGGGACATTTAGAAAACACTTGACTTACTAGTTTAACCACAGATTAGGAACTAAGCCGTGACTAGGCTGGAACACCGCACTAGTCGATACGTAGTTTTACTTCGGATACCTCCCCGTGACCTCGGGTCCAGTAATCAGAAGTGAACCCTAGACCCACGGGGTCATCGTCAGGTTCTCGTGCGCACGTTGTGGTATGATTGTTTATAGGCTCATCCACATGGACACGGTCCGGCCTTAAAAGTGGTTTGACCCACATGATAAAAACGTGACAGTACTTGGTCAGAGTACGTCGATATATAAATCTTGAACTTTTACTTAGTCCACTAATTTGTTTGATTAATCTCGTAAAGTCGTTTACATAAATCGTGTTTTTTAATCTCTTAAAAAAAACATCATACGATATTGTCCCCTTTTCATTTTCTAAAACATCATGCAACTTGATCAATTAGACATTCAAAGCGTAAAAACAATTACAACTCTATTCATTAATCAATCATATACCAATATTTTTAAGGAAACACACATACCAAATTTTTTTATAGTTACGGTCACTTACGACATGAAACAAAAACAATTAAATGGAGTCGACAAAAGTTTATTATGACATAAACAAAGTTTCATTTTTGTTTATAAAGCCAAACTGTTTTTTTTTTACCTTCGACCAAACTGAAGTTTGATAAATCATAATCATTGATTATGAATAATCATTATAAAACCTTCGGCCCTTACTATTTAAAAGCAAAACTGTTTTATTTTTTTTCCTTCAAGAAACAAACTGTTTTTTTTTAAACCTACTGCCGAAAGATAAGTCATCCTACTAATAATTTTTATTTTTGTTATCAATTATTTTTTTCCTACCTTCGGTTAAAACTTTCTTTTTATAGAAAAGATAATAGTGGTACTAATGATAATAATACTAACAATAATAACAACAATGATAATAACAATGATAATAAAGAATAAAACCTTTGCCTTCGGTTATACAAAAGTATAATCACCATACTAATCAACTTTTTTTTTTATTATCATTTTTTTTCCTTAGCATTTGGTTATATATTTTTTATATATAGAGAAAATAATGATGGTACTAATACTAATAACAAATATAATAAAAATGATAAAAAAGAATAAAAACTCCATTTATGCCATTACCGAAAGTGTGCAATTGTATAATTACTTTTTTTTGGAAGCCAAGTGAAATTTATGTTTGACATGTATATTTTTATTATTATTATAATGACTAGTATCTTCCTCTTTTAATTGATTATCTCAAAGAGTAAATTCATGTTAATAAAAATAAAAGGAAATGCACAAAAATATATTAACATGAAATATATATCTAAAGGTTAGGGTCAACGGTACACCTTCAATATCCGCTAGACAAAACGATAGCTTGACAACGTTTATAGGATTTCTTGACAACAACTCCCTTGTCTCTCTATCTCCCTCGATAATGCCGAAATCCCTTTTTTCTTTTTACAAACTCATATATACTCCAAAACCTATATCTTTAATTTTTTTCTCTTTCTCAAGTGGTCATGAGTCTCTCCTCCATAAGGGATGCTATTTATAGGGAGCATGGAAAATTCTAGAATGTGAAGGGAGGTGAAAGGGTAAATACTTAATCAAAATAATTGTTAACTAAATTACATTATATAATATATTAATATTAATGTAATAATTGATGAAGTAATTTAAGTTTTGTAACCCCCATTCACTAAAGATGGTGGTGGACGTGATTTTGAGTAGGAAATCCAAGGGTTTCCTGCTCCATTTATTTAGCATTATGTGTCCGATTTTCACAGTTTCATTTATTAAATACTTGTAGAAAAATATAAAATTTATATTGTTAATTTCCATATTTTTCACACCTCATTTTAACATAATCTGTTTGTAAAAAAAAAGGTTTATTTGAACAAATTATGTGAATAGCAGAGAACCAAACTAGTTTTTTATTCCCTTTCAATTTACTCTATTTTTTTCATGTCTACTAGTAATTAATCATTTAATATTAAATTCCAAATTGATTGTTTCTAAAGAAATAATAGTAACATTTTTTTTAAATTTAAATTCTATTATTATTATTATTTTCACATATTTTTTTTTAATTATTTTTTTTTCTATTGTTTTCATTTCTTTGTACTAGAAAATTAAAATTTTTAGACCGGTTTTCAGGGCGTTACAGGGTAAGCAGCCTTCAGCCCAATTGAATTCCAGAACTATGCCAAACAGCGATGGGAAGCTCTACCCTTCGCTGTTCAAGCCTTGGTCCAACATTATCACAAGGCAGAATGCCTTTACCTAGCGATGGGAGATATTACCCATCCATGGGTAAGTGACTTCCAGCGATGGGAGGATATTACCCAGCCATGGGAAGGCATGACAGTTGGAAGTCATTTAAGGTTGATTCTTTCCTTGTTTGGAAGTCAACCTCCCACCCAGCGATGGGAAGCTTGTACCCATCGATGGGTAGGTGACCGTTGGCTTCAAAACTGAAGGAAAATTGGCTTACCAGCGGTGTGTAAGTCCAAACATCGATGGGAAGCCAATATCCTGCAGATCCTTTTTTTAATCAACCCCATAAATCAAGCAAATCACCCCTTTAATATATTGGTCCGTTGGAGCCTATTTTGGCACTATAAAAGGGGTGTTTGGGTCTGCTTTTCTCATCAATTCACTTCACAATATTCATATTATCATTGCATCCAAATCACATTATTTTCCATAGATTTCTAGAGCCAATTTGTGTGAAGTTTGAGTTGTTCTTGAGCGTATATATTTTACTCAACATCTACTCTTAAAGAGAGTCTTGTTCTTGAGTGTCTTAGTGTTGTATACACGTTAAGGGAAGCTTGTTTCCCTTACGAAGGAAAGGTATTTTCCTTCGGGTTGAAGTCTTGGAGTGCGGTATCTCCGAGCAAGTGTTGTTGAGGCTCGTGGGACTCGAGTTCTCATGTTGTAACGGTTTGTTAAGCACCCGTAAGCTTAACGGAAGTAGTGTAGCTCAAGAGAGTCTCTCGGGAGACTGGATTAGCCACACGTTGTGGTGAACCAGTATAAATCTTGGTGTGCTCCCTTTACGCTTTCTACGCTCTTTACTTCTCACGTTCTTAATTTTTTATTCCTGCGATTTCTACGATCAAACACTATTCACCCCCCCTCTAGCGTTGGTCACTTATTCTAACATCGCGTGTGTGATAATAATATAAAAATCGTAGGAAAATTGTAAAGAGCAAGCCTCAAATTCTTACAACAAGACTTGAGGCACAAAAGTCTTAACAACAACAAGACTTGAATCACACAAGTCTTAGCAACACTCAAATAAGATTGAGTTTACAACACAAGAATGAATCTCATAAAATTGAGCAAGTAGTGTTTGAAATATGAAAGCTCTATGGATGACAATATCTTTAGCACTCAATGAAAATATTTCTAACTCTCAAAATAATATTTTGATGAAGAAGATGGAAGCAAGAAATGAATGTGACTCAATGGAGATATTGGAATGCAAGAGTTGTGTTTTAAAAAAGGAAAATGAGGGATTAAATAGACACCAGACAAAATGAATCAATTAAAGTGGAATTGTAATTGATTAAATATGGGAAAAGGTCTTCAGCAAAGGGTGCAACTTAATCGATTAAATTTGACAAAAAAATCGATTAGACGGCGCTGTCTGAACTCATTGATTAAAGTGAAGAATGAAAAATCGATTAAACACAAGGCCTGAGAAATCCAGCACAAAGGAACTGGATCTAATCGATTAATTCAAGATTTTTAATCGATTTAAAGGGAAATAATGGGCAAACACAAAGGGCCCAAGCCAAGTTGCGATGAGGAGTGAATTTGGCCTTTGTTCCTTGTTTGAGACAATCTGAATAAGGCAACACGCTCCTCACAATCAAGAAACTCTTATTCAATGAATTTGAATAAGAGAGAAAAAGTGATTCCAAAAATTATTTTGTGTGTCAAACGGTGTATATGAAAAAATATTTAAAATATGTTTTTCTTACCAAAAAAAATTTGTGTAATCTTAAAAAATATTTTGTAAAATTTTGACATACTAGTTTGAAACTGATAACCTTCTCCCTTAATTGATGCCGGGATTTTGAAGGATAGTAAAATTTTTTTGCATGAGTTTTCTTTAAAAGAAGAACTTCTAACAAAATGCCACAAAGGGACAATATGTTCTAAAAAACAATATTGCCAAACCAACAATAATATCAATACACAATGATAATTTACATCAATAATAATCAATTAACAACAATAACTAGCATCATCCAAAGCAACATCATCATCCACCAAAAGAGTCATAAAAACATTATCATTTAATAATGTATCATAAAAATAACGTCAACATAATCAAAGAGAATGTGCCGGACGAGCTCCTCCGTTAAAGCTGTGACGCGGGCCACGGAAGGAGCGCGATTGCTCGAAACGAGTCATCCTCTCGTTGAGCTAGCGAACGTCATTTCGAATGCATGCGAGAGTGTCAAAGATCCTCTTCACCCAAGAAGGTTCCGGTGCTTCTTCTCTCGGACGAGTCTTGCGTTGACGAGTGACGTGTGCCGAGGTTCAACTTCCGCCGGCATGAGACGACTCAGCTTCGTTCTCGCTCTCCTCTTCATCGACAACAACCAATACCAGATTTTACTCGTCGGTTGTCTCTTTGCGGAAGACACTCTGGGTGAACTTGGTGTCCTTGATGAAACAAGTCTTCTTCACCGGAACCCGAGTGTCCCGAGTAAGGTCCACTTTGCAATGAGCAAGGATATGCATGATAGGGATGGCAAAACGAAGATGTGAAAAACGAGTACCATCACCAAGTGCAACGAGAAAGAAGTGAACCCAATCAAATTTGACATTGTTCAACAAGACGTGAAACAATCAAATGTCGTCCTTGTTGGAGTCTTTCGTTATTGGAGAAGGCTTCTTAAGAAGCACAAAATGCAAATTTAAAACTGCCTTTAGACATGCTTGAAATTGTCTACTTATCGTTTCGCCACTTCTATAAAAATAACCCCCAATCATTCTATTCTTCTTATGGTGCGCCAATGTGTATAAAAAACTTGTTAAGATCTCTTCCACACACATATTCCTTGACTGAGTCAACCCACCTATATCTCTTACAATCTCACATAAAACGACCAATGTTTGTCGGTTCATTAGTGTTGTTTTGCGTAAAAGTGGGACTGGGGGATTTTTTTGTAGCTTTTTTTTTTCAACAAATTTGAGGAGAATCTAACAACTGAATTATAAAAAATTTGTAAAGAAAATCTAGAAAAAAATCTGTAAAATAATCTATAAAAAATATGTAAACAAGTTGTTTCAACAACAAAGTTATTTCAAACAGTTGTTTAAAAAAAGGATCTAACAACAAAGTTGTTTCAGTTAAATTCTAAAACATTTGTAAAAGAAATACTTTAAAAAAACCTGTGTAAAAAAATTTATAAAAAGTTTTTAAAAAATCTGTAAAAAATCTTGTAAAGAAAACACATAAAACAAGGGAGGGGGGAATTGAAGGGGAGAGTCGCAGGTGGCGGAATCGCAGGGGGAGGGTGGAAATCCAGGGGGAGTCGCAGGTGGCGGAATCGCAGGGGGGATCGGAGATGGAAGGGATGGGGAGGAAACCGAGTAGGAAGGGAGGGGGAGAACATACCTGCGGCAGATGGAGTTGCAGTGCCCGGCGAGAAGGAGTGTGCCGGAGAGGAAGAAACGGGAATCGGAAGGGTTAGTTAGAATAAGGAATGTAACACCCTACCCCACCTTGAATGACCCAAGTCATCCAGACCAGAGTGCTAGTAAAAACGGGTTACTTTGTAAAATATTATTTATCCGAAATATATTCTCTTTTTGATAACTAAAGAGAATTAAAAAAACGTTTTTTCATTATTGGATCTGGTATGTGAGATGTAGTCCTTTGTATTCAACATTTTATTTTTTAAAAGAGTTTAGATATTCTATAAATAAAAATTACTTCAATTATTTGAGAGATTTTCATCTTTTCTAGGGTTCTTTATTATGATCAGTTTGAGTGATGCGACAAGAGGACGTACTGATTTCTAGATCCTACAGAGATTTCCTCAAAGCCTCTCAATGGTAAGAGTGTTTGGGAAAAATATTATAGATTTTGGTGATGATGTATTTAGATTGTAATAAGGTTTAGGTCACCCCTGATATTCAATGTAATTTTTCTTTTTAGAAATATTGTTAAAACCGAGTTCTTGAACAACAACAACAACCTAGTTAAATCCTACAAAAGTAGGGTCTGGGGAGGGTGTGTGTACGCAGACCTTGCCCCTACTCGAAAGTAGAGAGGCTGTTTCCAAAGAGACCCCCGGCTCAACGTCGAAAGTTGCATTGCTTAACTAACTGCTACTTCATTAATTAAAGAAGCACAGACAGTTTAGAGATCCATTTTGATTTATTCCATCACATCCCAAAGCCAAAAAACCGAGTTCTTGAGATTTCCAATAAAGTGGTGATATTTCACTATGTGGTTTGATGTCAATCTTTGAAGACTTAATCAAATTCAGTGATATGGAAAATTAGAATTTTTAATCGGAAATGTCAGAGACAAGTAAGGAATTCTCAAAACAGTTGATTACTTTGAAGATTTTCTAATCCAGAACACTACATGATAACCGGATGTCTTGCTGAAGGCTAAGTCATCCAGATTGGAAAACTAGCGCGGATCTCTTTCTCACCTGGAAGTCTATGAATGACTTTTCCGAAATTGTCAGCAAAGAACCTGATGTCTCAAAGAAGACCGGAACTCTCAGAAGCACACAAGTGAGAAAAGACTTAGAAAATATCTAAGTCTTGAATGAAGAAATTCTACCCGTTGGTAAGGAAAAATCAATCTTTTGATTTTCAACGGCTAGCTTGAGGATATTTGATATGATTCAAGAACAAATGACTTGAAGACAAAGTCTGGACTTCTCAAATTGAAGAGCTCGCCCAGAATTCCTAAACAAACATAAGAAGACAAAATGAGTACTCCACTCATTTAAGAGCTACAGTCCAGAATTCTTGAACAAAAGCTAGAAGACGGATTCTGTTAAAAAGGGAATCCTTCTTCAAACAACTGGGTATGTCCAAACACCCATTCCAATGAAGAATCCTCAATCACCCTCTTCGTTCAAATTGAAGCCAGCAAATGCAACGGATAGTCTATTCCCTTCAACGGATAGATCATCCAATCCAGCTATATATAGCTTCCATGGAAGAGTAGAGAAATATATATGAGATAGAATACCTAAAACCAACAAGAACAACGCTATCTCATTCATAGTTAGCCAAAAAGCTTGATAAAGAGAGATTTACAAACTCCTTATCCAGAAGCAAACTTCTCCTCCTTCCAAAGAGTTATAGTGTAAACACTTGAAGGTTTCCTTGCCTCAAGTACCACACCACGTTGAAGGATACAACTTTTAATCAAACTTCTTGATTAAAAAGGGGGTACATCAACTTTCCTACAAGTTGATCTTGCAAGTCCTATTGTTCGCATCTTGCAATTGTTGAAGAAGCGTGACCTTCGAAGGAACAACAAAGCCAGCACGAGTGCAGTAGCAACATTGGCCTTGCGAAGATATACCGTGCAAAAATTCACACAAGTGTAATTGTTGGTTCATTATTCAACAACCAACTACATAATGGATTTTGAGGACATAGAAGGATTACCCCACCTTCGAACCTCGTTAAAGTTTACGTGTCTCTCTCTTTTATCTTTACTCATACTTGAAATTATATTAACTGTGAAACTAACCCATCCATATAGATTAACACTCATTTTCACGTTTTCAAAAGAAACGAAAAAGTTTTAAAATTTGTAACAAAGTCTATTCACCCCCCTCTAGACTTTGTATCTCACCACTTTGGGACCACCAAGAGTATTGTTGAAATCAATAACAATCGGATTTGTTAGGTTAGAAATGCCATAAAGGATGATTCTGTAGATTGTTAGTTGGCCCCCTACGTTGCAGGGTAAGTGCTATATAGTTTAAATACAACCTTTTTTTATAATTTATATTTTTTGACCAAAGGTGATATAATGTGATGTGTAAAGCAGACCCAAACACCCCATTTTATAGTAAAAAAAAAGGCTCCAACGGGTAGGAGTTGAATGGGGGTGATTGGCATAATTTGTTGGATTTGATTAAAATTGGATTTGGTGAGAATCAGCTAGACAGCGCTGTCCATGGCTTGGACATCGCTGTTCTAGGCTTAGTTTTTGAAAGCAACGATCAAGCCAACAACGATGTCCAAATCACCTACATCGCTGTTTTGGCTGTTGACTTCCAAAAATGGAATTTAGCCATAGATTTTTTCCAACGGTCAGGTGCCTACATTGATGTTCATTACTTGAACATCGCTGTTCAGGCCTAACTTTGAAGGATGAAGAAATGGCCTGACATCGCTGTTGGACATCAATGTAGAAAGGTCTACATCATTTTTTTGCCAAACCATGGTTTCGAGGTGGTAGCGGTAAACCTGTGAAGAATTCCATCGTGAAGCGATCTCACTTACACTCAATGATGGAATTCGACTGTAGAAGTCTAGATGGTAACTGGTGCTCAGCTTTGACTTGCTGACAGGGTCAAATATCGTGATGTAAACTCTGGAATCTCTCTCTTCATAGTGGGCCACCAGTAAGTCTTCTTCAAGTCGTGGTACATCTTGTTGCTCCAAGGATTCATGGTAAACATGGTTTCGTGAGCCAAAAACTTTCTGCCAAAGGCATTTCTTTTTTGCTTAGGTTGGACATCAATGTAGAAAGGTCTACATCATTGTTCCAGATGTTTCTAGTAACCCAACCTTGGCTCAACAGCAATGTCTATAAGCCAACATCGTTGTTGGAAGACTTAACGCCAAACCATGGTTTTTAGCTGCCCATGCCAGACATTAGAGGATTAGATTATCATTGCACAACGCGACCACAAATTTTTCACAAAGAATTGCGAGCTTGTCTCCATGGGGGAGAGACAAGACTTCTCTGTTCGTGATGAGGATGTACCACTATACTTTGATTGTCTAGTGGTTTCGAGTGGTGACGTGAAGGAACTCCTACTTCGCAAGGCTCACGAAACCACGTTTACCATGAATCCTTGGAGCAACAAGATGTACCACGACTTGAAGAAGACTTACTGGTGGCCTACTATGAAGAGAGAGATTCCAGAGTTTACATCACGATATTTGACCCTGTCAGCAAGTCAAAGCTGAGCACCAGTTACCATCTGGACTTCTACAGTCGAATTCCATCCTTGAGTGTAAGTGAGACCGCTTCACGATGGAATTCTTCACAGGTTTACCGCTACCACCATGAAAGAATGACTCGATTTTGGTCATTGTGGATCATTTGACAAAATCTACACACTTCATTCTTGTGAGATGTCTCAACATCTCGACATCAGTTCGCCGATATGTATTTCGCGAGATCATGAGAGTTCACGATGTTCCTACTTCTATCATTTTTTACCGCGATTTGAAGTTCACAGTGAAGTTATGGAAGAGTTTCCACCAAGCTCTTGGAGCGAAGCTGACATACAATATAGCTTTCCACCCTAAGACTGACGATCAGTCTAAGAGGATGATTCAATAAGAGGCATTGTATGGGCGTATATGCAGAACCCCGTATGCCGGACAAAATTCAGTGAGCGAAACTAGAAGGTCTTGAAATTGTTCAAGAGACTGAAGAGAAGGTTCGAAGCATTAGAGATAGATTACAAGTTTCAGCTGATCGTCAGAAGTCCTACACCGATCTATGGTGCAAGGATATTGAGTAGTAGGTCGGAGATCGAGTATTCTTGAAGGTTTCTCTTTGGAAGAAAGTCCTTGGCTTTGGAAAGAAGGGGAAACTCAGTCCTATGTTCATTTTCCCGTACAAGATCATTGAGGGTGTGGGACCACTGGCCTATCGACTAGACTTGCCCCAGGAATTAGACAAGATACACAAGATGTTTCATGTTCATATGCTGAGGCGATACCGATTAGATCCCTCACATATCATCACTTTTGGTATCGTTACACTTGATGGGGATCTTTCTTATGAGGAGGAACGGCTCGCTCGAGAATTAAGGTTCTACGGATCAAAACAGTGCCACTTGTCAAAGTCATTTGGCGTAATCACACGTTAGAGAAAGCCACATGGGAAATAGAAGAATTTATGAGTGCGCAATATCCATACTTTTTCCACGATTGACCTCATGTAAATTTCGAGGACGAAATTTTATTAAGGGGGAGAGAGTTGTAATGCTAGAAAACCGGTCTAAAAGAATTAAATAATAACAATACCGAAATTCTAGCGTGTGGGCCCCGAAGGCCGGAAAAATAAAAATATTAGGAAAACATTTTAAACACATTGTTAGATTCCATTTATTTTCTGAGATCAAAATGCGATCAGGTTCGAAATTGGACTCCGTTTGAAAAACAACTCGAAATTCAAGCAGATAAACTATTTCCTATAGAACAAGAATTTCACCCCAAACCTACAATCATCCCCTCTCAATCTCTAGGATTCAAAAATCAATCCCAATAATTATTCTCATCCCATTATCCTAATCCCACACATCATCTTTTTCCCAACCCACTCAACACACACACTTTCCTCTCTCATCACTTTTGGTCTATGGAGGGGGTGAGCTGTGTGTGAGATGACCCAAAAAGCATCTCTAATTTTACATAAAAAGAGAACCACTTTCCAATATTTACACTCCCACACTTAAAAGAAATCCCTGCAACTTTATTCATCTTCATCATCCAGCTAGCTTCTTCCACCATTAATGGAGGCTTAAGAAGCTAACACTAGGTAAATGAGCATACTCCATTCTTATTGTTATTATACTTATTTTAACGCTCTTTTTACTCCATTCACCTCTGTGTTACCAAGGTTCAAAGATAAGACCTCATGACAAGGAAAGCTAGAAGTAGATATATGTTAAGATCATTGTATTCCCATACAAACTCCAAGGTTTGTACCCTAGACTTGTTCCGGTGCTAAATACCTTAGAATCATTTATAATACATGATTTCCTATACCTACATGTCACTCTATGTTAGGCATACTGATAGTATTGATAAAACACTTAAGTTGATATATAGGAATCACCGACACCAGAGAATGCTAAAAAATGTGCCAAAACGACCATATAATATTCATAAACAACTTGGTGATTCAAACTAGATTATATATAATTAATATCAACACTTTTGGAACCATCCTGTAGCTTACAACATGCCAAAAAATGTGTAGGAACCATTGACAGATTGATCACCTAAGCTGTGATCGATCACCTCATGCTAGAAAGAAGCTCCATATTTTTTTTAAGGATGGTGATCAATCACCAAGCTTGTGATCGATCACCTGAAGTTTTTTCTGTTAAAATGAAGATGTTTTCATTTTGGGGGATCGATCACCCCTTCGGGGATCGATCACCCGACATTACCAACTCACATTTAGGCCGTTTTTCGATATCATATGAAGGGTAAATCTTTTTTTATTTTTTGAATTAATTATGATCATATTTTAACTGCCAAACTTACTAAAAGTGAATATTTTTGATGAGATTATATATGTGGGCGATATTAGGAGTTGAGTATGTACGTACATAAAGTCCTAGAACTGGTCAGGTGCCAGGGGATCACTCAACCCATGTGTCTGGAACTAGAAGAGTATTTATACCAGACTGGAAAAGGCCATAGAACAAATTCTAAACCTGAAGAGAAGCGTGCTTGGACCCCGACTCAGACAGGGGAAGTCTTATCATTTCTTTTTTCTATGGAGATTGATTCTAAGGTATGGAGAGGATTTAAAGGATTAAATGATGGAAAAATGATTAAAGATGTGATTTTACTTTTATTATTGATATGATGGAACTATAAAAAGGATAATTACTACTTGATTTATTTGATTGTGATTATGAATAATTCTATAAATTCTAGGTTGTAGTACCACTCAGCAGTTTTGCTGAGCGCACAGTTGTTATCTTTGTTGTTTGACTGTATGTAGGTAAGAAGCATGATGGAGCCGATCTTGGAGGATGCTGAGGCAGAAGAGATGGCGGCATGTGTGTGGGAACAATTTCACTTCATTATCTTTCTTTAAATTATGTTTGAATAATTTTGAGTCTTAAACCCATGTGTGTACTATTTTTAAATTCCTTAAGCTTCCTTCCATACTCTAAAACAATTTGTGATGTTGAAATTTTGAATCATTTGAACTATTATTATTAAAATATTTTATTCAATTTATGGATGTTACTTTACCAATTTTCTAGTGGTTTGGTCCACTAACCCAAATGAACCGGGTTATGCGGATCGGGGTATTATAAGAAATCCCTGGAAAGTCATATCCACATATAAAGGACTTTGGATTGGCATTCGGAGACTAATTCCTTAATTTAGTTCATTGGCTTAAGTCGCTAACTGAATCCCCAGAGTTTGTGCAAATGACCCTGGGTTACAGACATACTGAAAAAAGGGGGTGCGTGACTAGGCAAACGACGATGATGGCGGCGAGATCATGACCTTACGACTATTGATTTTGTTTTGGGGCTAACTATGTTTCGATGCGGTTTTTTTTTGTGACAAGATGAATAAATAACTATTCGTAGAGGAAATAAACAAATTGAAGAGGCCGCCGTCACTGGATACCCACTGGTGACGATGACAGCTGAAGCAATTGACTAGAGCAAACTAGGTTTAGGTTTTAGGTTGGTTCTGATACCGTGTAAAAAATAATAATGGAGAATAATTTTATATTGATTTTTCTCGTGGAATACAAAGATTCAATCTTCTTTATATGTAAAAGAGGGTAAAGCAAATAAGTAAAGTTTTATTCCAGCCATAATTATATTCCTACTATAACATTAATAAGAAATAACTAGGAAAATTATCAAATCCTAAACCAAACTCTAACATAAACATTACCAAAAATTATTGTATGTGAAGTGTTTATGTATAGTACCACATTCATGGGTGACGGAGGGTGTGCAAAGTGGCCAATCGCCTCTTTTAAAATGTAGCACTAATTTTAAAGTGTAAGTACTTTGAAAAAATAAAAGAGGGCCCAAATCGTGACTTTTGCACGCGGTCGAGTTCACTTTTTCATATTTTCAGACCAGCTGTGGCTACATTACTGCAGTGTAAACTCTTATTTTAGAGATAAAAGCAACGAGCTCCTGGTACTTTCTCTATGTTTTCCTTCTATTTATGGTGGTTTCTTACCTTATTAACCGTCTTTTTAATTTTTATGAAATTAATTTGGATAAACCATTTTCTGAAACTTTTTTTCTATCAAACTCCTAAAACCTCACATTTTAATGGGCTGCCATAAAGAGAAAAGACAAAAGATATGAGATAATTGTCGCCTAACATTGACAAAGGAGGTGTGGTTGCTTTTGAAAATAGCCATATGATATAATAATACGAGTAATTATTAAGTTGGACTGTTACCACTAACTTCCAATACCAATCATACACGGATTAATAATGCAGCTTCTCCTTCCAAAAAAAACTGCAGCTTCAATTAGATATGGGTAAAGGCGTAAAGCTACTTGTACCCCATGTTACTTGTACCCCATGTTTTGTACCCCACTTGTACCCCGTAGCTTTACACCAACATTTTGTGTTGGTGTAAAACTAATTTTTATTAATGCACCAACTTTTTGTGTCCGTGTAAATTTTTGTTAACGCACCAACACTTGTGTCGGTGTAAACCATCAAAATGTTTGTGTACAACTGCAGTGTACAAATGGGGTAGAATTTGTGGTATAAGTGTAGCATAACCCATTAGATATTGATATCCATTCCCTTTCTTTGCTAGAATTGCATCTCCGCTGGATAGTTAGGTACCGGTTGGCTTTAAACCGCTTGGCTTTAAAGTTGACATCATAGTATCCTAGTCCTACTCCATCGGTTGATTACTAAAGTTGACATCATACTATCATAGTATCCTAGTCCTACTCCATCGGTTGATTACTTATTTCTCTTTTGGAATGCTTTAGAACAACGTGTAAAATCTAATTTATTTATAATTTTATAACTACAAAATTAATATGAAGTATAAAATAAAAAGTATGGATTATGTATTTTTAAAATACATCAAAAATTCTATAAAAAAAAATATGACAAAATTTTTATTGTATCATATTATCAATGAAAATAGATAACTAACCAGAACTTTAAAACAAATTAGAATACGAATTGAAAAAAATGAATTGAGAGATGCAGTTTAAAAGTCGCTGTTTTGAAAACCTCAAATGTTTCCTACCAAGTACAGGTGTCTCAAATTGGATTGGCAACTCTTCGATACATCACCCCAGAAAGCTCAACATCCCATCTGCGCAGCATATTTGCTACTTGTTATTTTGATTGGGCCATGTACAATACACATCGTCAAGTAAATATATCTTATAACACATAAATATATAAATATATATATTTAATAAAGATATAAATTTTTAAATTTAAAAAAGAAATATAATATAAAAAGATTAAAGCTATCTACATTTATTCATTTTATTACTTTTCAAAAAATATATAGAAACTTTACATTAATTTTTTCAGTGTATTTCAACTATTCATTAATTTATATAATTTCCATTATTACTAGATTCAATGAGCAAAAAATCTATCTATACTCCCATACAAAAGCAAAAGAATTGGGGAGGAAAGAAAAAAGAGAAAGCGTTTTCCCGCCCAAAACATAGCCATATATGGTCGGTTGATCTGATTTTCTATATAGATCAATGGCTATTGTTGCATTTTTGGTGCCGTGTGTGAACTAGTTGAAGTTAATTGTTGGCTTTTCTTAATTTCTTATGTCTCTATTCATTAATTGCAGTAGAGGAGCCATTTACACTTATCCATGCACGATTGCACGGGAGGAATATTAAGGGAGTATTAAATGATGCAATGTTTAGAGAAAAAAAATGATGCAACACAATTGATTGCCTTGCAATAATAATTCTCTCTTTTATTACTCCGTATTAAATACAAATACTTTTACAAATCAATTATATAAAACCACTTTAAATAAGATTAAAACATAGATAAAAATATTAAAATAGATGTTCTATATTTTTATTTTCGAAGTAAGAATTCACACTGTGATATTGTGGTTGCTGCACACGTGCACATTACTATACTTTTTGGTAATATACATGATCATATTTGGTAATATAAATGCATTTTAACTCCTATTTCGAAAATAAAAATATGCAAGTCCTATTTTAGTATATTTTCAATGTTTTACTCCCACTTTAGTTTTTTTCCTTAAATTATAATCTCATTCTGAATAATGTACAAAATTTAATGTCTTTTGTTTATATATTAAATTGGTATATGTAAAAAGTACAAATGACATTTTTAAGAAATAAAAAATACTACTCCGTACAAAACAAGAGATGATAATAACAACAACTGAGTCTAATTATAAAAAGGTAGAGTTTGAAAGAAAATATTTTATTTCATCAATTGATAATAAAAATAGGCAGTATACAAAGAAATAAATATTATCGAGAGGTCCATGTAATAAGTTTGAGGGACGGAAGGAGTAATTTTTATACTCCCTCCGTCCAAGATTAAAGTTCCCATTTTGACTTGACACGGAGTTTAATAAAAATTGAAATTTACTTTGACTTTCCTAAAATACCCCTCCATCCCTCATCCATTCCCCTCTTATCTTGTCCACCCATTTTTCTGTGCAATCGGATACCCTTCAAGCACGACCTCCTCCCTGCTTCGCCATTATCTCCGACGGCCGCCTTGATGGTCTCCGATGCCAACTCCGACCACGACTTCATTGATGGCCATCACCTTTTCACGCTGCTTTTATTTCAAAAAAAGACGAATAAGGAAGAAACTTGGGGCTCCTTCCAACACGCCAACAATCGGCGCTTGTAATACTCCGCCATAGACATAGATTTCTTTGTCGACGTTGACCATCTTCACAGATCTGAATCGAATTTCTCAGATCTAATGGAGATGGACTAGAAAGAAGAAAAAAAGAAGAGGAGTTAATGATTAATTGGGCGTGGGACCATGGGAAGAAGAACAGGGAAGGAGAAGAAAGGAGAAGAAAAAGAAGAAGAAAGAAGAAGATGAAAAGAAAAGAGTGAAGAAGAGAGAAAAAAGAGAAGGGAGAAAAAGCATGGCAGGGACGGATGGGAATTGAACGGACGAAAAGGGGAGGAAAAAGAAAAAGATATGATAGGAGTGGTTGGAGACTTGGAGGGGTAATTTAGACTTTTTGATATAAAAAACTTTCTAAAAATAGAAATGGAAAGATTATTTTTGGACGGATGAAAAAGGAAAGTGGGAACTTTATTGTTGGACGGAGGGAGTATAAACACGTTGATTGTAAGACATACAAATTATTATTAAAAATTAGAAATTCATACATATATATAGAAATTAAAATTTAGTTTTCCCTTGGTTCTATCAAACGACGCATGAGTTAATAATATCGTTGATTACAATAGCGAAGTAATTTTCCACATATTTATTCCTCCCTCCAAAAATCTCATTTACATTTAGTTTTCCAAGGTCAAATCTTATAAATTTTGACTGCTATTATTTAAAAAAATATACTTCATCCATCCCAAGAGAATGTTCTCATTTTGATTTTTATGGAATTTAAGGAAAAGATATTTTGGTATTTACTTTCCAAAAATACCTTTGATGTGATGTATAAAAGTAGGATGTGATGAATAGATTATAAATAAAAAGATACTATGTGATAATTAGGTTAAGAATTAGTAAGCGTAAAAGTATTTTTAAATAGAAAATGAAATAAGTTTGTGGGACAAAAAACAAGAAAGGGGAAGTAATTTTTGAGTCAGAGAGAGTATATAGTTATAATATAAATTTAAAATGAGGTAAGTTATTTGGCACAGTTTTAACATATCAAATTTTTACTATCCTCCAAATTTATATTACACTATTAATTATCAAAGTATCTTAAAAATATTTTTAAATTTTTACTATCCTTTATTTATGTGCAATTATAAATTTATATTACTAGATTCATACTCGTGCGTTGCAGGGGATAAAAATTCATTGCAGAATAAAAAATTTTAAAACATTTGGGATTCACAAATAAAACAATATAAACCACTGTGAGCTACATTTCTTGAAATGCAACATACAATTTATTAATTACGGAGTAGCTTATTAATTAAATAGTTTATTGTGTTAGGAAAAAGAAAGCAAAAATGACTATCTAAAGTATTCAATATTTACATTTTCTTATCCCAATTGTATTTGTCAATTCCATAGTTCAAAATTTGTCATCCCTTTGGGTTGTAGTTCTTTACCCTCCAAGTTTCTACAAAAACAAAATAAAATAATAATAGCCCAGCATCTGCATTAATGAGTAATGTTGGATTACATACAATTCCTTACCATTTCTAGTTTCACCAGAACTATTTTCACTTGATGGTTAGGTTCTAATAATGTGCTACATGCATGTATTTTGGACATGATGTTTGGCTTCTGGTTTCATTGGAAATATTGTCACTTTACGTTTAGGTTCATGATATTTGGCTTGTGATGTGTTATCCTTGATTTTTTTTACTACCTCTGATCTAGAATATTGGTCTAGTTTGACTCTTTTTAATCAAACAAGGCAAACTTTGATCAATAATTAAATCAAAATTTGATTTTATATTAATACATAAATGATTTCATTAGATTTTCCTTGAAATATACTTCAAAAAAATATACTAGTATTGATATGCAATGCAACAACAAAAACAACTAAAGAGAATCCCACGAAAGTAGNAACTTCTTATTGACAACTGTTGTAAAAAAAACTGTATCTTGAACTGAGACAGACAACTAATGAAACATTACCGTTTCTCGAAACTTGAAAAATAGTTTTAAAGCATACCACCTAGACTACCGTTCTGTTCTTATGAAAAACTTACAGTAGTCTGTTTTTTTTCAACTACTGTGTTTGCATAAACAGTAGTGAATCAACGGTGGTCTGATGCTGTTTCTGGCGTAGTGCTATCTGACGAACCTCAATGTCTCCATTTTTCTGAAGCTTATGAGGATAGAAGAATTTTGGTGATATGTGCTTTGTCTTGTCGCTTTTGATGTAGCCACTTTTAATTTGTGCAATACAAGCAACATTATCTTCATAGAGTAATGATGGAGCCTTATTCAAAGATAATCCACAAGTTTCTCGAATGTGATGAACTATTGACCTTAACCATATGCAATCTCGACTTGCTTCATATAGCGCCATTATCTCTGAGTGGTTTGACGAGGTTGCAACTAGTGTTTGCTTTACTGGTCTCCACTTTGTGATTTACCCTTATGTGGGTCAGAAAGATAGCTAGCATCAGCGTAACCAACAACTTGTGATTTTGAACCTTTTGAATAAAGCAGGCCCATATCGGTTGTTCCACGAAGATAACGTAATATATGTTTAACACCATTCCAATGTCGTCGTGTTGGTGCTGAGCTATATCTTGCCAACAAATTAACCGAAAAGGCTATATCAGGTCTTGTAAAATTTGCAAGATACATTAGCGCCCCTATAGCACTTAAATAAGGTACCTCTAGACCTAAAAGTTCTTCATTATCTTCTCGAGGACAAAAAGGGTCCTTTTTTTCATCTAATGATCGAACAACCATGGGACTGCTCAATGGGTGTGCCTTATCCATGTAAAATCGTTTTAGGACCTTTTCCGTATATGTTGATTAATGGATAAAAATCCCATTCGATACATGCTCGATCTGCAGGCTGAGACAAAACTTGGTTTTCCCAAGATCTTTCATTTCAAACTCTTTCATTAAATAGTTTGCAGTCTTTATTAACTCTTCTGGTGTTCCAACAAGGTTTAGGTCATCTACATATACTGCTATGATAGCAAATCTAACTTCAGATCTCTTGATGAAAACACGTGGACAAATTGGATCATTTATGTAGCCTTCTCTAACAAGGTATTCACTAAGACGGTTATACCACATTCTACCAGATTGTTTCAATCCGTATAATGATCTTTGTAACTTTATTGAGAATAACTCACGAGCTTTCTGATTGCATGCTTCAGGAATTTTGAATCCTTCAGGGATTTTCATGTAAATCTCATTATCTAAAGATCCGTACAAATATGCTGCAACAACATCCATAAGATGCATGTCAAGTCTTTCTGTGACGGCTAAACTAATCAAATAACGCAATGTAATTGCATCTACCACAGGTGAATATGTCTCATCATAATCGACTCCAGGTCGCTGTGAAAAACCTTGGGCAACAAGTCTCGCCTTAAACCTGAAAATTTCATTTTTCTCATTGTGTTTCCGCACGAAGACCCAGGTGTTTGAACTATAGGTCCAAAAACTTTACGATTTTCTAGCGCTTTTAACTCATCTTGCATTGCTTCTTTCCATTTCTGCCAATCATTTCTATGTCGACATTCCTCTAAAGATTTTGGTTCAGGATCCTCATTTGTAACATTTAATGCAACACTATAAGCAAAAATGTCATCGATGATCACCTTTTTTCTATCCTAACTTTCTTTTGTACTCAAATAGTTTAGGGATATCTCTTCAGATCTAAAACCTTCTAGACATTCCTCTTCAGGGGCATGTACCTCTTTATAGGTCTTTTCTTTAACAATTTAAGATTGATTAGTCATATTTTGTATAGCATTTTCTTGATTTGAAATATTATTATCATTTGAGATCTTCATCTCTTGTACCCGTTTCTTTCGAGGGTTCTTATCTTTCGCACCAAGGGGACGTCCATGCTTTATGCACGGTTTTAGTGCTTCATTATTTTGTTCGTATGAGACATCCACACGTGCAGGTGTGTTAATAACTGGTATATGAGATTTCATCACAATTTTTGTATCTATGAATGCATCTGGCAACTGATTTGCAATATTTTGTAAATGTATTATTCGTCTCACCTCCTATTCACATTGATTCATGCGTGGGCCCAAGTGAGACAAAGATGGTACATTCAAAGTAATTTCACGTTGTTCTATAGGAATTAGGATTTTTATCTCCCCCTAACAATGGAAAAACTGTCTCATCAAAATGACAATCAGCAAACCTTGCTTTAAATAAGTCGCTTGTCAATGGTTCAATATATCTAATGATAGATGGGGAATCAAAACCAACGTAAGTTCCAAGTCGTCTCTATGGGCCAATCTTTGTCCATTGCGATGGAGAGATAGGAACATACACTGCACAACCAAATATTTTTAAGTGGGAGAGATCTGGCTGCTGGCCAGAAGTCAATTGCAATGGTGAGTACGAATGATACGAACTTGGTCTTATATGCACCAATGATGCAGCATGTAATATGGCATGCCCCCAACAAGAGGTAGGCAAATTTGACCTTAAAAGCAAAGGTCTAGCAATTAATTGTAATCTCTTAATGAATGGCTCTGCCAGGCCATTTTGGGTATGAACATGGGCAACTGAATGTTCAACATCAATTCCAATTGACATGCAATAATCATTAAAGGATTGAGATATGAACTCACCAGCATTATCAAGACGGATGGTCTTGATTGGATAATGAGGAAATTGTGCTCTCAATTTGATTATCTGAGCAAGGAGTTTAGCAAAAGCTGTTGTATGTGATGACAACAAACATACATGAGACCATCTTGATGAGTCATCTAGTAAGACCATGGAGTAACGAAATGGTCCACAAGGCCGGTCAACATGACCACAAATGTCTCCTTGAATAAGTTGTAAAAATGTTGGATACTCATTGCCAACTTTCATCAGGGATGGCCTTGTAATTAATTTACCTTGTGAACATGCTATGCAAACATATTCATTAGGCAAAGGGATCTTATGGTTCTTTAAAGGATGCCCATTGGCGTGCTCTAGTACACGACGCATCATGGTCGATCCAGGGTGACCAAGTCGATCATGCCAAAGCATAAATTGTTTAGGATCACTGAACTTCTAGTTCACGATAACATTTGATTTGATGGCACTAATGGTGGTATAATACAATCCATATGAGAAAATTGGAAGTTTTTATTTTAATTGCTTTTGGCAATGATTTGTATATGTGATACAAAGGTATTCTGTACCTCCTTTGTTCATAGTTTCAACATGAAACCCATTAAGTCGTATATCTTTGAAACTTAATAAGTTTCTTTTTGACTTAGAGGAGTATAATACCTCTTTTACAACAATATTGGTTCCCCTAGATAAAATTATATTTGCTCTTCCATAGCCCTCAATTAACTCCGTAGTACTAGAAATTGTACTAATATTTGCTTTTGCTAACTGCAGATCTAAAAAATACTTTTGATCTTTAAGAATTGTGTGTGTTGTCCCACTATCAACCAACAAACATCTTCATCTTTTAAGTTGTTCATGGCCTTTTGTAAGAAGTCATGATTTTTTTATTAATAAAAAACATTATTCATGATGACTCAAAACTTGAAATTGGAAATACATATTATTTTGTAACATAAAATAAACTCGACTGAAAAGGACACAACAAACAAGACTTGAAATTAAAAATAAATTTTATTTTGCAACACAAACTAATCTTGACTCAAAATTACTCATCCTTAATCTTATTTTGGCTAACTGAAGGATCACCACCATAAAATTCAGCTCCATTAATATCACGACTTGGCTCAATAAGAAAATTATCCACATCAAAATGAGTTGCTTCCATCGGCTCAATTATAGTATCAAAGTCGTTGTCAAAATCAACAAAATTTATCTCCTTTCCTTTTCCCTTTCCTTTGGTAGATGCTAGATAGAGATCAACAAGGTGCTCTAGTGTACGACAAGTACGAGACCAATGACCTTTCACTCCACATCGGTAACGAATTTCATCCATTTGTTTTGAAGCATCACCTTTAACGATCTTCCCCTTTTCTTGTTTTTGGTCATTATTTTCCCACTTCGAGTGGTTTGGTACAGATCTCTTACTAAAAACATTGTTGTTGAATCCTCCTCGACCTCGCCCATAACCATGACCAAAACCACGACCATGACCGCGACCACGAGCACGCCCTCGTCCATGAAAATTAGCATTCACTTCTGGAAATGAATTGATTGCATTCGCTGCAGGGAATGGTTGAGAGCTAGTAGGGTGAGAGTTATGATTTTTCATGAGAAGATCATTATTTTGTTTAGCAACAAGGAGACAAGAGATAAGTTGAGAATACTTAGTAAATCCTTTTTTTCGGTACTACTGCTGCAAGAGCATGTTAGAGGCATGAAAAGTAGTAAATGTTTTCTCCAACATATCAGCATCAATGACAGTGTCTCCACACAACCTTAATTGATATACAATCCTAAACATGGCAGAATTATACTCGTTTACCGTTTCGAAATCTTGCAACCTCAGTTGCATCCAATCATAACGAGCCTTTGGAAGTATCACACTTTTTAGATGGTTGTATCTCTCCTCCAAGTCACTCCAAAGAGTTGCAGGATCTTTGACCCCAATATATTCGGACTTCAGGCCTTCATGAAGATGATGACGTATGAAAATCATTGTCTTTGCTTTTTCTTGTTCGCTAGCCCCACCTTTTTTCTTAATAGCATTTCCAAGATTCATTTCATTCAAATGAATCTCAACATCAAGAACCCATGTCAAATAGTTCTTTCCGGAAATGTCAAGGGCAACAAATTCAAGCTTGGTGAGGTTACCCATAACTAAAAATAAATCATAAATTATTATTATTTAGAACCATGTGGGCTCGTTGATCCTAACCTTTAGTCATATATTTCATGTTGTTTTTTTGCAATTCATTACCAGAATCTACTAGTTGAAAAAAATAAATGTATATGTAAATTGCACCATACAAGACTGATGGGATTAACCCGATCAGATGGCGGACCAAGAACGTAATATGGATTAGAAAGATATAACCACTCAATAATATTCTTTGATTAAGTGTAGAATTATGCAAAAATGGGAGAAATTATGGCGGGTTCTTTCCCCTTTTATAGTACTCCTAATATTGTAACTAAAATTATGCAAAAATGGGAGAAATTATGGAGATCATGGGGTTGTGATTCCCTCTTTTCCGGTCTCGTTCTCTTTCCATCTCGTCCACAACCTGGTGGTGTGGGCCACGTGTCCTGCTCCTTCTTTGGACTAGGGTCGTCTTGACCTAGCCTGTGATTGGGCGTCCTTTCCCCATTCGTCATGCGTGTAGTAGCGGGCTCGGCCCGTTACCCACACCTGGCTTTATTAATCTCGCGCCATTATGGGCCTTTATTGGGCCTGGAGTCGGGTCCATCAGACTCGGTATCCATCACAAGCCCCCTAGTTTTCTGGTGACGTGTCGCTAGAAAACTAATAATGAGCCGCCTCCGGTTTTCGTGTCGGATTAGAAACGTCGCACTCGAGTACCTTGGGTCCCTCCTTTCAACGGATATAACCCGTTCTGGATCGTCTTCTTCTTCCTTCGCTACCGAATCTCAACCCGACCCGAATTCCGACTGCAAATTCCCCCAAATTCTCACTTCCTTCTCCAAAATGGCTCCTTCAAATCCCACAACCTGGTCCCACGAACCCTCCATCATTAAGGAGGACGAACTTCGAGAAGTGGTCGCGCTTCTGGGCAAGGGTTTCCAGGTCCACCATCCCGATGCCGTCGGGGGGATTAGTTTATCCCACAATCCAAACCCTCAGAAGTATATGGTCATGCAATATCACTCTGTGGAAAATGGGTTCAAGTTGCCCCTCCATGGTCTGCTTCGCGACATCTGCCGCCATTTCGGATTCGCTCCGGGCCAGTTGACTGCCAACGCGCACAAGTATGTCGCGTCTTACATCTTGCGGTGCTGTGCCCTGGACAGAACCCCGACACTGGATGAATTCCTCATCCTCTTCAGTATTGGTGGGCCTTTTACCTATTACAGCATGTTTCCTCATCCCCAAGCTCCAATTTTTGAGAGGGTTGAACTTAAACACGACAAATAGTCCCACCGCTACTTCGTCATTGAGTTCCCAGTTTACAGCCCCTTGGATCTGCCGGGTGTCATTCTCCGTAGTTCTATTTCTCGGACAAAGTTCGCTGCAGCAGCCCTGGCAGAAGCAGCATACTACGCCTTGAGAGATGAAGGGGGTTTGATTCCACATCACTCACTTCAAGATGCCAGTTTGTACAAGAAGGCGGATTTTTACTATCTTCTGGGCCCTGACCCCATTCTTTTTGAGGGGGTGTCTTCCCGTGATAGGTCAAAGGCTCCTCCCATTGTAGAACCCAATGCAGCCGGGAGCTCCACCGGGAACCAGACCCAGGATAACACCACCGTCTTGGCTGTTTGCAAGCCATCTGTAGCCCTGGACGTCGTCCCCATCTCCGCCATTCCCAGACTGAGGAGGCCCACTCTGTCCCAGAAACGGCGACGGGAAGGAGTCACTGACGATGACTTCCTTCCCAAGAAGAATAAGGGTGATGGTATTCCCGCTTCGCCCAGCCCCCTGACTTCATCTTTTGGTACCCAGAGTACCACCCCTGCTGCCGCATCCGGAGGTCTGGAGTTGCCCAACCCGGATAACTTAGATCATGAGGGGGATGAACTTCCGGACCAGTCAGGACTCAAGACACCTGCAGTGCAGTCCCAGCCTGAGGTGATCAATACCTCTTCACCAGATGCAACCATTCCCCAAGGGGCAGAGGAAGAAGCTGATAGGCAAAAAGAACAGGAGGCTTCCCCCGCGACAGAGAAGGAGGTTGGAGTGCAGGAGGGACCGGAAGCTTCCTCTTCAAAGGAGAAAGAAGTTGGATGGTAGAAGGATACTGAAGCTCCCCCAGATACGGAGAGAGAGACTGAGAGACAGCAAGAATCGGAAAAACAGCGTCCCGCCGTCACGTCCTCAGCCTTCAATCTCCCCATCCAGTGCAAGTTCACGCCGCAGACTTACCCTGCCTTCAAAGAGGGTTGGGCAGGTTTCTCCCACGGTTTGAACTCCATGCAGGCCTCCCACCGAACCATCCAGGCGAACCTGGAGAAGATGAACGAATCCGTGCAGGAGCCCACAACTCCCCAGGCACGCCCTGATCTGCTTGCCCTTAATGCCTTGCACTCTATGGAGCAGGTATTCTTCTCTTCCATGGGTTTCTTTATTCCTCCCTTAGTTATCTCTTTCTCGACATTCCTTTCTCCCTTCCAGGCCCAACAATCGCTCCTAACCCTGTCTGAGGAATACCTGGGTGAAGCATGGGGAAATTATAGGGCCGTGGTGGTTCTGAAGGAAAAGGAATTGGCTGTTAGGGCCCTGCAGCAGAAAGTTGATTCCCTAGAGCAGCAAGTCCAGGCCCTTCAAGAAGAAAATGCCAAGCTCAAGGCAGATGGCTCGGCGGAACTGGTGACTGAAAGGTCCAGGGTCAAGTCCCTGCAAGAGCAGATTGCTGCTTACCAAAAGGGGACCCAGGATCTGGAAACGCAATTTGACAGGCTCCGGGCACAAATCTCCGTCATAGAGTCAAAGTCCTCAGCTTCAAAAGACAAGGTGGGAAGTCTAAAAGCTGAGCTGGTTGAAAGGGAATCCCGAATTTCTGAGCTGGAGAGTTCCCTCCGGGAGGCCAAGCATGAGGGTGCCCATCTTAACGATCTCATGTTGAAACACATGGAGGCGAAACGGCTTACCCTCGAGAAGTTGGGGAAGGAGAGACAGATTGCCAGCGAGCTCCGGTCAAGGATGGGTGAACTAGAGAAGGCAATAGCTGCTCATCAAGAGGAGGTTGCCACCCTGACTGCCCGTGCTGAAACCCTTTATGAAGAAGGGAAATTTGAATGCAAAAATGCATCTATGAGGTGGTCCAGAGTGGTCTTCCAGCTCAACGATCCTTGGATGATTTCATCTCCCACTACGGGTTACCTCTTCCTCTTCCACCCCCAGATTCTCGTGCCAATCCGGGATCTTGATTCCTCAATCAATTGTTGTAACTTCTATTTTGTAACATTTAACCAGTAACAACTTGACAATGCTTGATGTATTTCCGTCTTCGTAGACACCTTTCGCTAATCTAACTGTTCTCCTTTTGGAATTCTTATTTCCCTTTAGGACTTAGCGGAAATTCTTTATCCGCCTAGGCTTTGGGCTTAACCGCGTTTACAAAGTACTGTTGTTTTTTTATCACCGCGCTAAGTGACTGGCCCACCTTAATTACGCCGGGCCCAATCACCTTAGCCCAACAATGAAACGGTACAACCTTAGCTTTCCTCGGGAATCCGTAATTGTTTCTCCAACCGGATAAGTGCTTTGACTCTGCGTCCCTTGCACTTCTCTTCTAGGATTACTCGCCTATTTAAGGGGCTAGGCTGAACCCCTTCACCATCACAATCAAATCCTCAACATGGCCAATAATGCCATCAGAGTTGTCTTTATTGATCTTACTATTTCCGATTTTTCTTCTGATTCTTCTTCGTTGGCATTCCCCTCACTTGGGGCCCCAACACCGGAACTCTCTTCTGGGCCTTCTCTTGCCTCTGAACAATCGGTGACTTCTCCCTTACCCAAGGAGGAGAACTACCCTCATCCCCCCCAACGGGCATCAGGGGGTGTTCTTCCGGGTTCCGGCGTGCTTCCTAACGGTGGCAGGACGGAAGTCTCTACTGGCTGTCCTGGCACGTCTCGTCCGCAGAAGAGACGCAATCCCCACTCAGGAGCTTCCCGGTTGGTCTCTGGTGCGAGGCCTTTCTCCCAGGGTTCTCCCTCCCCTCAGCAGTCATATGGACAGCAGCCTGAGGAGTGGGGTGACTACGACGTGGGGGGAAATAGGCTTCCGTTTATACGCTGGGAAAGGGACGGAACCTTCCGGGATCCGCCTCCTCCTTCCGTATAGGCGGAAATAGGCCTTGAGTCCTTCCCTCATGCCTTATCGTCCTCATTGTCCGCCTTCATGGGAGTGACTGGATGGTACCCACGGGGAATGGCTTTCAATCCCAACCCGTTGGTACCATTTCACTTCTTTTGAATGTCATCAACGGGAACAGTGGGCTCTCTCCAAACATCCTCACTCTGGGGTCCTTTTCTGGCCCAGGCATGGCAGCAAGGGTCAGCGAATGCCTTCCCCTCAGATTTTTGAGGTGCCGACTCGCTTTGCCTTCAGATTTTTCCAGCAGTTGGATAGAAGTAGATCAGGGACAAAGTTCATTACTGTAACCCAAAAGAATGTAATCTTCTATTTGAGTTATTTAATGAAGATCTTTATCTCCCGTCTCTTTAATGTTTTATTGCTAGATCAGGGATAAGGCCCATAATTGTAACCCAAAAGAATGTAACTTTCTATTTGAGCTATTTAATGGGAAAAACCTTTATCTCCTGTCTTTTAATATAATTATGTTGTGCGTGCCGCCATCTGCATGGAGTAGAAGTCTATATTTATTTAACTCCTTACCTTCCAAAGATAACATCTTTCCCAAAGTGCAGATGGGCCCAATCAACCGGCCCATGCACTTAAGTGGCGAAAAACCCTGGTAAAACATTGGGAATCTTCAACCGCTTCATTCACCAATCGCTTAGTCTTTCACGTCTTTAAACCACATTCATTACTTCCCAACTATCCCGTCCCCTTTCACTATAAATGGGAGAGGATAGTTTGCGGCTGGTTCATCCCTTTCTAACTTCCTCACCATGGCAAGTAAATCTCAAAGTAAAGTCTTCATCGACTTAACCCTCTCTGGGACATCTTCTTCTTCGGATGACGATCTCCCTGCCTCTCCGGCTCAATCCAATGACATGGCCGGGTTGAGTCCTAGCGAGTTCTCAAGACTTTATCCAGCACCTCGTATTCCTGCACCATCTCCTTCTAGTCCACCCAGGCTTCCATCCGGGAGGATAGACTGGGACTCTATGACCCTCCAAGACTTCACCTTGTATCAGAGGATGCGCAGGGCTAAACTTGGGCGTTCTTTGCCTACTGTCGAGGCAGAACCTTCACGTTAAAGCCGGACTGCTTCTCCAAACTTGCTGAAGTCTCTCAATGATAGTTCTTCATTAGGAGCACCAGCCCCCCGTCTTGGGACGTGGGAAGACTATGACATAGAGGAAGCTTCTGACTCCGCCCCGTGCCCCTCGTCGAAGAGAAGGAGCCCATGGAAGGGGCCCCCACCTCCTTCTTGTTGACTGCATGGATGCAATAGGCCCTCCTTCAGTGCCTAGCCCCCTGCAAATTAAATTTCTTTTCCTTGTTTTATTTCAAGGAGCATTCACTTGTTTGGTCCAGGAGTTTTTCCTCCGTCCCATACTAAGGAACGTCCTTTAATTTTAGACTAGGAATTATCGTTGTAATTCAAAGATACAACCTTCGAATTAGCAATCAATGTACTTCCCGATTTTCTGATTTCTTTTGTCTCATTAGGAACCATTATTGTGAACCAAAAATGTAAACTTTGGCCCATCAATGTGGTCCTTAATGTTTATTTCTTTGAACTTTTTCTAATGCAAGTACATATTTCATCCTCTGTATACAATCTCTTCTCCCGGGGTTTGGGTATGCCATGGGAACTTACCTCACCTGCCCCTGACCTCCTTTCCTCCGGGTTAAGGCATAATCTTATCTACCTTGGATCAGTTGAGCTCCAACCCTCGAAGTTTGTTTGCTCGGTTGATCTGTGCTGGTGGAATACTGAGCTTCAGCCCTCGAAGTCTGTTTGTTGTTCTTCCCGAATTTCAAGTTGTAAAGGCCCTCAAAGTCCAATCCCAACCCTTCCTTCATTTTTCACGGAGGCATAAACTTATCTACCTCTGGGGGGCATAAACTTATCTACCTCCCCTATTTTTAGCAGGTGGCATAAACTTATCTACCTCCCTGTAATGTGGGTCTATATCGCCCGAGGGTGCTCTNAGAACAATGAAAATGCAAAGGCACTTGGCTTTAAAGGAAAGAAAATTTTATTGAAACAAAACCTCATAAATCCAAAAATAGAGCGCTTTACAAAATGATTTTACTGATAAAATTTGACCAAGTGCTCTACATTCCATGTCCTATCAATTTCTTTTCTTTTTAGAGTCACCAACTTGTGGGTACCTGGGCGAACAACAGCCTTGATGATATAAGGTCCTTCATATTTCTTAGCCAGCTTCCCACCTTTAGTTGGTGTACTCTTCTCTCGCTTCCTCAGGACGTAATCTCCCACCTGGAACGCCCTCGGTTTTACCCTACTATCAAAGTAAGATTTCACCTGGCGACGATAATTCTCTGCCCGTACCCGTGCTTCATCCCTTCTTTCCTCTATGAAGTTCAGCTCTATGGCCTGATTTTGTTCGTTCACTTCCGGGTCATATTCCATTTCTCTCCTGGTAGGGATCATCATCTCAGCTGGAGCCCGGGCTTCAAAACCATAGGCTAAGCCGAAGGGAGTGTCACTCGTAGCCCTCCTCGGAGTTGTTCTGTACGTCCACAGGATTCTGGGCAGTTCATCCACCCATTTGCTTCCTTCTGAAAGCAACTTCTTTTTTATCCCATTTATGATTGTCTTGTTGACGTTCTCCACTTGTCCGTTAGGCTGCGGGTAGGCTACAGACACTTTTGTATGCTGAATTCCCCAAGTTTTGAGGAAGTCCTGAAACTCTGCCTCCTCAAACTGAGTTCCATTATCGGATATGATTTGCTTCGGGACCCCAAACCTACAAAGTATATTGGTTCCTACGAAGTCGATCATCTGCCTCCTAGTTATCCCAGCAAGTGGCTCAGCCTCCACCCACTTGGTGAAATAGTCTATGGCCACCACAATCCATCTCGCCTGTCCAACCCCTTTTGGCAGGCCACCCACGATATCAATCCCCCACTTTGAGAAGGGAATCACAGAGCTAATAGGCGTGTAGTTTGTGGCTGGCCTCCCAGGTATATTCTGGAATTGTTGACAAGTTGGGCACTTGCGCACATACTCCTCGCAATCCTTCCTCATTGTTGGCCAGAAATATCCCTAGATTATTGCCCTTCTCGAGATAGAGTATGGGCCCTGATGTGCAGCACATACTCCTTCGTGTATCTCTTCCATAAGCGCCTTTGCCTCTGCTGCCCTGAGACAGCGGAGCAGAACGCCGTTGTAAGACCGTTTTATAAAGGACTCCATCCTGCACCTTGTAGGTGGGTGCCCTCATTCGCAGCAAACGGGCTTCTTGGGGATCTTCCGGGGCTACACTGTCCTCAATGTATCTTGCCAACCTGTCCAAACATTCCGGGGGATCAGCTGTTACCCAGAACACTTCATCTCTGTTGAGACTTGGGGTTGCCAGCTCCTCGACAGTTGCTAATTTGCTTATGTACTCTGGTGATTCTGCACTGAGCTTGGATAGAACATCAGCTTCCGCGTTTTGAGCCCGGAGTATTTGTTCAAGCTTAAACTCGAACCTTCCCAACATTTCCAAGGACAAGTCTCGATACCTCTTCATCCTCTCTTCCTTTGCTTCGAACTCCCAGTGATTTGTCCCACCACCAATCGGGAGTCGTTGTATACTTGAACCCTGGACACCCCCAACTTGCCAAGAATCTTCACTCCGTTGATCAGGGCCTCGTATTCAGCTTCATTGTTGGATACGCGGAACTGAAATCTGATAGCATAATAAATTCGGAAATTTTCCGGAGTAATCAAAATAATACCGGCTCCACAGGATCGAGACCCAGAAGATCCATCGATGCTCATTACCCACCAGTCGTCTTCCACCCGGGTTTCGGCCTGTGCTCTTGTCATCTCCCTGGCAGTACACTCAACTTGGAAGTCAGCAAGTGCCCGCCCCTTGATTGATGGGCGCGGCCTGAACTCCACATTGTACTGACTGATGAAGACCGCCCACTTGGTCATTCAGGCAGATGCCGCCGGGCTCCGGGTAAGTGACGCCAAAGGCTCATTAGTGAGCACAACAATCCGATGAGGCTGGAAGTACGGGGTTAATCTCTTCGCCGTCCAGAAGACCGCCAACATGGCCTTTCCCAGATGGGAATATCTTAACTCCGCGTCTCTCAAGGTCTTGCTGACATAGTAGACCGGATGTTGGGCTCCATCCTCTTCCCTCACAATTACAGTACTGATGGCACAATCTGCAATTGCTAAGTATAGAGTCAGGACATCTCCAGGTTCCGGCTTGGATAAAACCGGAGGACTTGCCAGATATCTCTTCAATTCCTCAAATGCTTCTTGACATTCCTGCGTCCATTCGAAGGTCGCCCTCTTCTTGATTACAGTAAAGAATGGGTGCGCCTTCTCTGCCAACTTTGAAAGGAAACGATTCAAAGCCGCCAATCTCCCTGTCAGTCGCTGAACTTCCTTTGCTATCCTCGGGGGTTCCATCTCCATGATGACCCTAACTTTTTCCGGGTTTGCCTCAATCCCTCTCCGGCTAACCATGTGCCCGAGGAATTTTCCACCCAGAACAGCAAAAGTAAATTTCTTCGGATTCAATCTCAAATTTACCTTCATCATGATTTCAAAGACCTCTTCAAGGTCCCGGACATGGTCTCGGGCCTCTTTGGACTTGACAATCATGTCATCAACATATGCTTCCATGGTTCGCCCCAGGACGGCCTTGAACACTTGAGAAATCATCCGGGTACGTATATGTTGCCCCGGAATTTCTCATTCCAAAGGCCATCACCAAGTAATAGTACAGCCCCTCCGGGGTCATGAAACTTGTCTTTTCAGCATCAGCCGGGTGCATCTGAATCTGGTGGTAGCCGCTGAAGGCGTCCATGAAGCTCATTAACTCTGATACAGCAGTCTCATCCACCATCTGGTCAATGTTGGGGAGAGGGAATGGATCCATGGGGCATGCCTTGTTCAAGTCCGTGTAGTCAACGCACATTCTCCACGAAGGAGGCTTAGGCGCCGGAACTACATTTGCTAACCAATCCGGGTATTGCACCTCCCGGATGTGACCAATGCTCTGCAAGGTTGCTACCTCCTTCTTCACGAAATCTCTCCTTTCTTGCGATAAATGCCTTCGCTTCTGCTTCACCGGTTTAGTATCTCGCAGGACATTAAGGCGATGAACTACAAACTTGTGATCCAGCCCTGGCATATCAGCTGGACTCCATGCAAAGACCTTCCTGAACCTTCTAAGGACTGAGATCACTCGTGATCTGAGCCCAGCCCCCAGGCCCTTTCCAATCCTGACTAACCTCCCCAGCATGCCCGGCTCAAGTTCAACTTCCTCAATGTCGGCGACAACTTCTACTCTAGGACGTCTTTCCTCGGCCCTTAAGAGCTGTGCAGTCACCTCTCCCACTTGGGTGTCATACTTGATAGGCTGTTTGGTTGCCTTCAAATACCACGCCCGGGACACTCTCTGGGATCCCCTGGCGATTCCAACTCCATGGGGGGTCAGGAATTTTATGCATAGGTGACTAGGTGAAATGACACACTCTAGATCTTCCCATCCGGGTCGGCCCAGGATGATGTTTGTATTGGAGATTATCCCCACCACAACAAATTCCATGTCCAACTTCTGGGTGGCCTTAGTATCCCCTATCTCGACCGGGAGAGTGATTACCCCCTCCGGTTCAATAGAGTCACCAGTAAACCCGGTTAGCGGAGTCTTAATGGGTGATAACTCATCTCTAGTTAGTCCAAGAGCCTTGTAAGTATCCATATACATGATATTAACAGAACTTCCCGTATCCACCAAAGTCTTGTGGATCAACAAGTCCATTATATCAATTGTAATCACCAGGACGTCCATATGGGGGACCCCTGTTTCTGGCAAATCAGCATTGGAAAATACAATTGGCTCAGTTTTCAGCTTCTTACCTTCTAGGACCAGCACCTTGTTGACCACTGCCGTGTTGGCCCACTTCTTCCGGCTCGTGCCTGAATCTACACCAGTATTCCCTCCGATGACAAAGTTACACCCGTGGTGTCTCTTCTGGCGGTGCGGTGCAGGTTCTGAATCCTCCTCTTCATCTTCAAGCCCGATGTGGCGTTTTTCTCGGGCCTCAGCTTGGGCCACCTCCTTATCTCTACGCTTCCCATTCTGAGCATTCCCGGGATTTCCCGCGTCACCATCTTGTACGAACTTCTTCAGATGGCCCCAGCGGATTAGCCTCGCCATCTCATTCTTCAGAGTATAGAAATCCTCTGTGTTGTGATCATTCTTGCGATGGTAGGCACACCATTTTCCAGTGTCCTCCACATTGCAGACCTTCTGAGAATAGGTTGGATAAGTCATGAGTCCCTGCTGTGCAGCATGGGCAATGACCTCAGCCACCGGCAACGTGAAGACAGGATTGGCAGATTTGTGCTTCTCCGGGGTCCCAGGGTTTGTGCTCTTAGGGCCCTCTGGGAAGCCCTGCTTCTTGTTCTTGAACGGCTTCTTATTTCCTGCCTTTTCTTCTTCTTTGGGAGTCTTCTCTTTCTTCTCCTCCTTCCTCTCCTCCAGGGTCACATACCTTCCGGCCCGGACCATTGCTTCTTCGAAGGTATCCGGGGGATGAGTTGTGAGATCAGTATGAAGGAGACCGTCCTGCAATGCCGCCGTGAACATGGCTAACCTGGATTTGTCGTCGGTTCCTTCAACTTCCTTGGACTCTTTGCTCCATCGTATTAGGAAATTCTTCAAGGATTCTCCGTGCTTTTGCCGCACTGAAGCTAGGTGAGTGAAATGCTTCTTGGGACGACAGTTCCCTGCAAAATGCTCTAAGAACCGCAACCCCAATTCATCCCATGTCCGGATCGATCCGGCAGGAATGTGGTTCACCCAATCCGCGACCTTGCTATCAACTGTCTGCAGGAAGCATCGGCACATCAGTGCGTCGCTGGCATCGACAGCAATTATCACCTGGACGTAGCTGTTTATGTGTTCTTGGGGATCTGACTCCCCATCATAACGCTTAACGAATGGCATCTTGAATCCCTGTGGATATGGTTCCGCAAAGATCTCCGGGGCTAAGGGAGTATTCGTCCGGGTAGTGAATACTCGTCCCCTGTTTATCTTCCTCTGCATCTCCTATATCTGTTGTCTCAGATCCTGGAATTTGCCTTCTTCCGGTACCGGTGGCCCCAGACGCTGTGGTGCTGGGACCCTGACTTGGCTCTGAACTTCATCCTCGTCTAGAACCACCAATGACCGCACCGGCGCTTGGCTCCCACCGCGGGCGATTCGGTGCCGGGGCTCGCGGTTAGAAGATGCCACCTGGCTGGCCTGGGGTCGTATCCAACCCTGGGGTGCTTTGTCCGGATTCTTCCCCAGCCTCTCACTAACGTGAGCTTTCTGGCGAGATATCCTTTCAAAGACAGTCCCCCGCGGGTTTTCGTTTCCATGGCCAACAACTTGGCTCGCAGCCCTGGCCCAATTTTCATTCACCTTACTATTCTGGGCCAACTCCTCCGCCCGGCGTCTAGAGACAGCCTGTCTCTCCCTCTCGACCTCCTCCGGATCATGAAGCTCCTGGAGGATGGGAGAACTCGCAGTACGCAGGACCTGGCGGGGCTGCCCGGCAGGGACGTCCCAGGTACCGGATGGACCAGGGAGAGCCTTATCTAATTGCTCCATAATGTTGGCCATCATGTTAGCCACATTATTCAACGCCGTTTCCAACCCATTGACAGGAACGATCATACCCTGTTCAGGGTTGTCACTCCTCACTGTCGACTGGGCAGAAGCAGCGCGCGGTGTTACGTCTCGTCCTTCGTCCGGCCATAATCTCACAGCTTATCTCACAGTTTCTCTCAATGGAAGCACCAATGATGGGATTAACTCGATCAGATGGTGGACCAAGAACGTAATATGGATCAGAAAGATATAACCACTCAATAATATTCTTTGATTAAGTGTAGAATTACTTGAGGTCTCTCCCTTACAATGGCGGGTTCTTTCCCCTTTTATAGTACTCCTAATATTGTAACTAAAATTATGCAAAAATGGGAGAAATTATGGAGATCATGGGGTTGTGATTCCCTCTTTTCCGGTCTCGTTCTCATCCCATCTCGTCCACAACCTAGTGGTGTGGGCCACGTGTCCTGCTCCTTCTTTGGACTGGGTCGTCTTGACCTAGCCTGTGATTGATCGTCCTTTTCCCATTCGTCATGCGTGTAGTAGCGGGCTCGGCCCATTACCCACACCTGGCTTTATTCATCTCGTGCCATTATGGGCCTTTATTGGGCCTGGAGTCGGGTCCATCAGACCCGGTATCCATCAAAGACAATTTTATTTATCAAATAATTCTAATTGTACATTTTTTTTTAAAATGCACATATACACATATATCAAATTAGTAGATTAAGTTTTTTTATTATTGTGAAAAATAAATAAATTAATGTGTATTGATTGAATAATAGGTTTTTTTTATAAAAATCGGCTTAGGTACTTGAAGGGTCTCAATTATTATTATTTATTATGCATTATTATTATTATTACTAGTTTTCTACCCCGTGCTACGCACGGGCTTGTTATTAGGGCTCGTTGTCATAATGTTATTGATGCGATGGTTGAAAATGGAGAGTTTGGTTTATGATTTAATTTTCTTCCGTGCTACGCTTGGGCATGTGTTAAAGGGTTGTGTATGTTTTGGTTTTGTAGGATTTTGAAAGGCTACATTGTATCTTTTTGTTTTGTGAAATGTGAAGAGTGATATTATTCTATTTTGGGGTTTTTTAATTTGATGTTGGTGGTTGAAGAGATTCATTTTTTGTAATGATTTTAAATGTTCATTTTGGCATTGTACCGGTTGATGTTCATTTTGGTGTTTTGATGTTCGTTGGGGATATATGACGGCTGGGCGTCTGTACATGTTACTATTGAAGCGAGAATTGCGAAAGACGAACATCAATGCTTAGTGTCTGCACACATTGGCCTACACGTTGGCGTTTAATGTTTGAGGTCTGTACGCGTTGGCGTTTACTGCCTTGTCACGTATGACATGTGTCAACATTACAACCCCTAAACTATCTTTTACATACATATACATACATACATACATACATACATACACACACACACA